TTATTAATAGATAAAAGATTTAGCTATGGGTACGGCATCTGCATCTGTTCTGATTAATATTTATATTAGATATTTCGAGCGATATTTAAAGATTTTCTTTAAAAAAGAAATAGTTAAATATATAAAATATATCGATGATGTACTTATAATCTTTAAAAAAATAGAAAAAGAATTGACGGATTTTATTACTGAATATTAGCTAGATTTACTGACCGTCAACTGGACTTATTTAAAAATAAAGATCGAATTTTTTAATATTAAAATTATGCGAATAAGGAATCTAACAGATACTAAATTAGTAATTTACTTTTTAAAAATTAATAAATAAGTATTTATATATTCTATAATCGTCAGCTTATTCTTTATATATAAAGAAAGCCTTCGTTAAAACTAAGTTTATATAATTTATTATAGTTAGTTTTAAAGTCGAGTATTTTATAAATGCTCGCAGACAGTTTTATAGTAATCTTCGTCGGAGAGAATATCTGAATAAAGTATTGAAAGACTGGTTCCGCTAAGTATTTTATAAATAACAGTTTTTATTTTTTATTTTAAAAAAGAAAAAAGAATAGAATATACTATTTATATTATCCGGACAGTACAATCTAGTATAAAAGTATATAAATATTAATAAGATTATTTAATCAGCCAGAAGATTTTGAATATAGAAAAGAGAACTGCCTGACAGTTTTTAATAACTGCTGATTTAAAATCTCTGTTAATATACAAATTTTGGTGACTTGTTATCGATATGGAATAAAACAGTATTATATTTTTTTATATTAGATATTAAATATAAATAAACGGATGTTAGTAGAATAGGCGGTAGTCTGAATATTATTCTGCTTGCTTATAGAAATATATTCGGTTCTTCAAAGAAAATATTTATTTAATTGCTTTTTAATATTCTCTTCAGATAAATTATTAGTAGGAGAATATATTTATTATAAAAAGGATCGGCTTTTATAGTCCTACCGAATATACTAATACTGGGTTTTTTTTTATTAAATGATGTTTTTAAATAAAGAAGTATCTTCGGGTGGATTATATAAAAATATAATATTTAAAGACTTTATTTTTTTTAAGACCTTTTGTTTTTCAGGTGCCGGCGCCTTCTGTTATAGTCAGAAGAATTATATATTATGATTATTATTTATTTTAGATCTTTTTTCCAACCGCTAGGAATCTTTGTATATTTTAATTAATAATTAAGCTGTGGGGGGTGTTTATGTAGTATACTTTATAAAATTTAAAATTCTAATTCTTTTAATCTGATAATCTTAATATAATATCTTTAGTAAAAGGTTTATCCGGTGCTGACGGGCTGAGATTTCTACGGATTTTTTAACTGTCTGTAGACGGGGTTTTAGCTAATCAGACGAACTTTTTTTTAGTATTATATTATTATTTTATAATACGGCTGATATATATAATTGCTGTTTAGCTAAAAATAAAGATTTTGGCCAATCTAAATCTAAGATATATTATTTTTAGAATTAGAATTTATACCTTTTATATCAGAACAGCACGTCGAGCGACTTTATTAAAAATAAAAAAGTATCTTAATATAAAAAACGAATTATTTCAGCGGTAAAAAGAAAAATAGTTTAATCTTTTTTTTTCTAAAATCTTTAATTTCTTCGGTCGGTAAGAATATAAATTGATACTATCAACCCAGCTCTAATAAGCTACCAACAGTGAAAGTTCTGATACTGTATATATATATTGTTTTCAGCTTACTCTGTTGAAGATATTTATCTTCTCTGCAATCGTTGTGCAGTCTTTTATTACTGATTAATGTAAATCCTAATGTAAATCCTAATGTAAACCCATATTAAATTACTAAAAAAATAATAAAATTAGAAGATTTAAATCTTTTTAAAATTAATATTTTAAAGTCTAATTATTTAATATTAAATTTTAATAAAATTTTTAATATTCTTTAATATTTCTATAGCCGTCTACCCGACGTTTAAATATATTTTAAAAATAAATTAAAAAAAAGTAGAATTATTTATAGATAGATAATTAGCTTTTTATACTGTATATTAGTAGTATTTTATAAATAAAACTGTATTAAAAATACAGCTTAGCTTAAATTCTTCTTCTGAATTCTATTTATAATTTTTTATCGAAATTTTTAAATATTTAAAATAGAATATAATTTTAGAATAGAAAAAAATCTCTGTAAAAAGGCGGAAAGTCGATAGTATAAATATTTTCATTTATTAAAAATATTATAGCTATTTATTAATATTTTAGTAATACTAAAAAAAATATAGAATATAGATACTGTATATATATATTAAAATAAACGAATAAATACAGAAACAGCAGAAAAGTATAAGCTTTTTAATATAAAAATAAATAATACTGATAATATTGATAATATTAAGAAAGATATATAGAAGTATATTTATATTATTAATATTATTATTAAAAAACCACAGCATTTCTAAAACAGAATAGTATTATTTATAATATATATTTTAAATAGAACTAGTCTGCGACTTTTTATTATCTACTACTGTATTATAGATAACCCCTGTAATTATGGCGGATTGTCAACAATCTACCTACACATCCTCCGCGCAACGGTTATGATGTTAATGACTCAGACCTTCTTCAGTATTTAACTCCTAGGACCTTACTAGATTTTTAGAATAGTAAGGATTAGTCTTAAAATTAATAGACTGCTACTATTCTATACCTAACTGACTTCTTTTTCTATTATATACTGTATTTTTAAAAATAGTTAGCTTCTGTGCTGAAGCGGCAGTACTATACTGTTATTATATTATTAAAAACAGCTGTATATAAAAGAAAGCCTAATTATTATAAATAATTTTTATAATTATAGCGGATTATTAATAATATATTTATATATTTTTTATATAACGGTTATAATATTAATAATTCAGACCTTCTTCAGTATTTAACTTCTAGTATCTTGCTAGACCTTTAGAATAGTAAGAATTAGTCTTAAAATAAACAGACTGCTACTATTCTATATCTAACTGATTTTTCTATTTTTTATAATAAATTAGTTTAACTATCGAAATAATATTATTATACTGCTATTCTGCGGCTGGAACAGCTGTATATAAGAAGAAGCCTAATTATTATAAATAATTTATAAGAATATAGCAGATTAGAAGTAGATTATTCTTATATTTTTTATGTAAAGATCTTAATATTAATAATTTTTAATTTCTTAATATTTAATTCTTAGAATCTTACTAGACTATCGGGAAAGCAAGGATTAGTCTTGAAATAAACAGACTGCTACTATTTTATATCTAACTGACCTTTTTCCTTTATATTTAATAACTAATAAAAATAATAAAATAGATTTTCAGATACTAATATTTAAAATAGTATATATTTATATTTTTTAATAAAATATTAGAATTATAGAGAATTTTATTTTTTAAATTTATTATACTGAAGTTATTATTTTATTGACTATCCGAATATATTATTATAAACGGAATACAGTAGTTATTATTAATTTTAACAGTTAGTAAAAATAATAAAATAGATTTTTAAATACTAATATGCAGAATAGTATATATTTATATCTTTTTTAATAGAATATTAGAATTACAGAGAATTCTGCTTTTTAAATCTATTATTCTATAATTTTTTCTATTTATCTTACAGTAGAAGAAATATTTAAATGAATAAAATAAAAAAGCTTAGTATATATTCCAATCTGGATTTTATATTCATCTGTATTTAAATTATATAAGATTTAACTATAATATTTATTAAGCTATTACTTATTCAATATAGAAGATAGGAATTTTATTTTTATAATTTATAAATAAGAATAACTTTCTTTAGACAGAAATAAAAAAACAATCTTAAAAATCCTATTTTTAGCATCTGAAAATATATGCTAATTCACTATATAGACTAACTTAGTATATATATTTGAATATTTTGTATAAACAGACAAAATAGCTTTCTAGCTATTTTTTCTTATTCTAAGGAATACTTCAATTAGCACAATCCATCCGTCCCGTAATAATATTAAAAATGGTTAAAACAGTTAACTGTCTGATTTGTAGCTATATTATAATCAGATATAAAATCTTTCTTAATCTGATTATAATCTAGCAGTTAGATATAAAAATTCTAATTAACCTAATCTGACCTAGCTGTTAGCCATTTTACAGATAACTGATTTGAAGCTTTATTTATAGAGTAATAAAAATTATAAATTGCTACTATACACTGTATATGCTTATAGAAACTGAGATAACTAAGTTTCTGTGAATGGAAAACCCAATAGGCTAAATTATCTGCTGATAGATTCTAGACACACTGCTGATTAGCAGCCCTTACCGGAAGATTTTCGGTGTCGGATATTCGGGATCCGGTTGTTCGGGCGTCCGAATGTAGCAACTTGTTGTGGGTCTGATTGATATGATTTTCATTATCGATCTTTTATCCTATCAATCTAATCTGACCATCTTATTGGGGGGCGCTCTCCACATCCGGTAGGAAAGCACGTGTGGCTACCAGAGCTTTCTTCCCAGTGATAATTCCGCCTCAGTGACCAGCTGAAGCCTTCATGGCCTGCTTGAAAACTGTATCCAACAAAGCCAAGCTAGTATATCTTGCATGTCCCACTACAATCCATATGCCCAATTGTATTCCTCTTTCTGACAGTGCCATGCATGCTTGGTCTCTCAGGCCGATCAATAAACATCATAGTGCCCACTTTGCAGAGATTTCATCTCCACTTCCGGGCCAGAATCAGGAGCAGTTTCCCTTTTCACGACGAGTACCGTAGAATGTTGCAGAATGATGAGATTGCGCTACGATTAAAGATCGTTGTTCTCAATGGCCGACAATATATATGCCAAGGTTCTTGCGATGTCCCACTTGAAAAAAAGGCATGCCACTGTAAGAGCCCATCCTTAGGAACAGTCGTCAGGGGCAGCCTTAAGGATCGATTTTCCGGACAAACCAACAGATCCCCATTCTTCGCAATGAGAATCACGTTAGCCATTCTGGCTTCGTGCCTCAGCTCGCACGCTGTGGCCAAGGGCTTCTCGCCGAGCAATGCGAACCAATACTGCATGTACGCCATATATGAGTCCTTCTCTCCGTTCAAATGGCAAGAGAACAGCAGCTACACGAGCGCGGTATCTCAAAGCTCGACACGTTCCAGCTCCGCATCTGGGTGTACGAATATGCTCGAGGTAGCATCGATATATGCCTCCATGCGAGCGTATTGTCATGGGAGGGCATACACTGTGGGCCTTGACTTTTGGAAGAGCCTGTGCACTAACGGCGGCTCGGCATTGATGGACTTGAACGAGATTGAGGCCATAGCTACCACCAAGTACATCGAACAGCTACCCGTCTTCAGCCCAGGCGCTTCGAACTCGGCCTCAATTTCCTCCGCGGTACTGCTTGACAAGTCATACTATCGACGAGCCGTCCGCAGTGTGGTAAGTGTGGTGATAGTCCTTTGCACTCATGCCGGATACTGAATTATGTTAGACCGCGGATGAGACCGATGATTCTCGCTCGTTGAAGATTGCTTGGGGTATTCACGGCTTTTGGGGATTGGTGATACTGGTCGGTATCATTTTCAACTTCCTGACTGGGCTCTTCTACTGTCGAGATGCAGAGCAAACCCAGGACCCAGAGAAACCTAGATCTCCGTCTCCCCTCCGGCGCCTATCGGCATCGAATCCGATTACCAAAGTCTATAATGCTCTCAACACACACTTGATCCTAGCGCCGAGTCTAGGGACGTATCACCAACGGCTCCTGTTTGGCTGAAAAGTCCCTCTACGCCTGCAAGCATCGGTTATTTTTGCCTTCTGGGCTCTGGCAGTTATCCTCGCTTGTATACGATATGACGCGTACTCGGACGATCCTTTGTATGCCTCTCTATGCGTGTATTTGTACTCTAAGCTAATTGGTTCTAGTAATGGAACTCTCGCCTATCAGATCTGGGACACAATGGGGCCGAGACTTGGCCTACTCGCCTTCGCATGCTTGCCGTGGCTGTGGGTCTTTGCAGGCCGAAATAATGTCCTGATTTGGGCCACGGGCTGGAGCTTCCACACATTCAATGTGTTCCACCGGCATCTCGCCATCCTGACCATTCTCTTTGCCATCATCCATTCTATATCATATACCGTCAAGTACTTGGCTTATAGTGAGACTCTGCCTCTGCAACCATCTCCGTTCCGGCTAACATCGCGCCTCAAGACCCGAGCAAGTATACCACAGACTTGGAAACGGACTGGTTCAGGTTTGGCATTGTTGTCTGTTTCCCCTGAAGTTGCTTGTCATCGGTCTTCGTGCTGACTGCCTCGCAGGCAACAGTGCTCATGTGCTTGATGATCCCGTTCTCTTGCGGCGCGGTGCGCAAACGATTCTACGAAGTATTCCTCGTTGTGCACGTTCTATTCGGGATCGTCATTGTCTACGCTCTGTTTAGGTTCGTAGACAGTGCGTGAGAATGCCCCCTCAAACTGGCAACCTGTCTTCTGACCCCGGATCCCCCAAGGCATATGAGCAAGTTCGGCGCGGAATACACTCCCCACCTGTGGCCTGTAGTGGCTATCTGGTCCTTCGATCGACTCGTCCGCCTCCTGCGCCTGGCACTCTGCAATCTGCCTATCCACCGCAGTAGCAGCGTGCATTCTCCCTACCAGAGCACCGTCACCTACCACCCCAGCAGCGACGTTCTCCAGATCGAAATCCAGCCCGCGATCCTCCCCACCTCGCCCAAAGCCGGACATTACTACTATATCTACCAACCCACGACCTTCCGCGGCTGGGAGAACCACCCCTTCACCACGGCCTCCGTTCGCTACTCCGACCGCGACAGCTCTTCCACATCCCCCTTCCCTGGCTCGACCACTCCTCCCCGCACGTCAACGGAGAAAGAAGCCGCTATCACCACGCAGTCCCGTCCTCTCCCGCTCCCTTCACTCACAGCATCCACTCCGACGCTAACCTTCTGGGTCCGTCCGTACACCGGCTGGACCCACCGTCTCAAAGCCCAAGCCATCGCCGCCGGCAACACCCTGCACCCCACCCTCGTCCTTGAGGGCCCTTACGGTCGCAGTGCGTCCACCGCCCTGCGCACCTTCAACCGCATCGTCATGATTATGGGTGGCACCGGCATCGGCGTCGCGACGGCATACCTCCAAGTCCTCCTGTCGGCCCCGCAGGGGTTGGAGCATCCGCAAATCGACCTCCACTGGACGGTGCGCGAGCCCGCGCTAGTCGACCAGCTGTATCGCGCGGAGTTGGGCTCGTATCTCCAGTGCCCTGGAGTGCGGATGCGCTTTTACTGTTCGCGAGGATCATGTGATGCGGTGGAAGGTGATGGAGTGCTCTCTGGGGGGGATGTGAATGTGGAGGAGGGGCGGGCGCCCATTGCGCAAATTGTGGCCCAGGCGGGGGCGGAGGAGGGCTCGGTGGCGGTGGTGGTATGCGGTCCGGCGGAGATGGCGGATCTCACGCGCGCGGCCACACTGGCGGCGCGGCGCGGCGGGGCGATCGGGATGGAGTACTTTGAGGAGGCGTATGGGTGGTAGTCAATTTCGTGGTATCGGGGGATGGCATTGTGGTGGTACAGGCTTTGGGGTGATTTGAGTACACAGAACAAAGAGGTGACTAGCCAAAGAATAATCATCATGTCTGTATGCTAAGACTGACCCTCACGTCGGAATACCGAGTTCTAAGGCCTACCTCTAATACGCCGATTTGGGTCGAGGGCTTGAAGCAGGCCTTGACTCTGTTCCGGTCGTCCGCCGGTCTGCCGTGCGGTGCGGGGTATTCTGCTGTTCTGGACCTTGATTGGCGTCGGATCCTTCCATCGTGCGGTTAGGTGATTTGCTGGGTTGGTGACTAATTGCCCAGTGTGCATTCCCCCCTGTCGGTCTTAGGCATTGATAGATAATGACTCAACTGTGACTCATTACTGGTTCCGTACTGGGAAAGGCCATGCTTCTCTGAGTATCATCGTGTCATCATGGAATGGATAGGGAACAATCTTACCTCCTCACAGGTCAATCAACGAGGCGTGTGATGGCCTGGTAGTACACACCGTACAGAACCTGCGGTCGGGTACACCCAGGCGGCCCTCCAAAGCTGACATTATAAGAGGATCCCATCCACGGGTCAATAGGTGGAAGCAATGCTCCAGTCGCAACCTGTATTATCTAGCTGCAGCACAGTCGGCTACCTTGTGCCCTGAACCGTTAGAGCAGAACATGTCCACTCAACTCGACGCCGCCTGTATCGCCCGTCTCTCCCTACACGACCCGGCCCACTTCAGCATCCAGCACTCGCAAACTCTGCATCGCCTGGTGCTCCTACAGCACTGGAACATTCCCACTGGTGCCAAGGTGCTGGAACTAGGGTGCGGGCAAGGGGACTGCACGACTGTTCTTGCAACTGCCGTGGGAGAGCAAGGAAGGGTGGTGGCGGTCGATCCGGCGGACTTGGATTATGGTGAGCCCTGGCTTATTTCCTATCCTGACGGTGCAAGTAGACTGTAGCTGACCAATGGCTGCTGCAGGTGCGCCATATACTCTTGGCCAGGCACAGGGCCACATATCGGAAGGCTCACTGGGTGATCGCATTACTTGGGTCCAACAACCCCCTCTGGACTACCTCTCACTCCCTACTCCCTCCCCCTCCTCGCCCCTCGCCGGCAAAACTAAGGCCTTCGACGCAGCAGTGCTCGCCCACAGCCTATGGTACTTTGCCTCCCCTTCGCTCATTCTGTCCACTTTGTCTGCCCTCAAACAGCACAGCAAGCGTCTCCTCCTTGCCGAGTGGTCGTTGGTAGCCACGCACTCCTCTGCTCAGCCTCACGTTTTAGCCGCGCTTACCCAGGCCGCGCTGGAGTGCCGTAAACCTATTAGCGACTCGAATGTCCGCACGGTGCTGGGACCCAAGCGGCTGACCGAGCTGGCCCTGGCCGCCGGGTGGCAGTTGCAGAGCGAGACCCGCGTGCAAAGTGGGGAGGGCTTGTTGGACGGACAGTGGGAAGTGTCCGCTTGTCTGTCTTCATCGTTCAAAAAGGAGGTGAAGGAGGCAGTGAGTGATGAAAGGGAACGGGCAATGATTCTTGCGTCACGGGATGCGTGTGAGGCGAGCTTGGCGGGTATTGCAGGGGGCCGGACAGGGGTTAGGGCCATGGATGTTTGGGTGGCTAGTTTCGTGTGATCCGGCAATTGCCTAATATCTAACCCTGCTGCCCACAGCAAATCGCTATCATGAAAGAAGCAAATTAGACCAGTGCTGTTCTCTGCCGTGATCTGGAAATAAAACATCTGCGACGATGGAGAGCGACTAGCGGGCCAGGATGCAGGGCTCTGCTGCATCAACCCCACCTTTGACCTATTTCTACAGTTGGCGGCACTCCAGCCCTGGCACGTACAGCCATGCCTTATAAGTGGAGGTTGCTGTGTAAATCTGGTCCGTGCCGACTTCGGTGTTTAGGGTGCCGCAAATGGATTCAGTGAACCATGTAATAGTTTCAAAACAGGTTATTGCTAGGGGTGCAGGGATAAGTGTACATGCATATATGTGGAGGTTACCGGCTTGCGTGTGATCGGGGTTTCGGACCGGAGAAAAGACCGAGGCTATGCAAGACAAAGAAACCGATTTCTGGTATGATCAAATTCTGGCCAGCAAACATGAATTGACAGGCTCAGGGGCTCATAGTAGTTACGCCGCTTGCTGTCTTTGCTTTTCCCATGGGTTTGTCCGTCCATTTCATGCTGCGTTTGTTCTTCTGACATCCTCTGTCAATCCATTCTCCCTTTCCTACCCCCTCCCCCATGGCTGAAACCTCAATTCTCAAACTGGAGCAACAGAAAGCCCTACCCACCCCGGTATATAGCAAAGTACTACATAATTCACACGATCGGGGGACCGAACCAGAAAGCGATGAGACGAACTCGGGCAGACCTCCGGTGCCCAGGCCGAGGAAGACATGGCGGTTTTGGGCTGTGTTCCCAGCCTTGTGCATGACGACCTTTCTCGCTGCTCTCGACACATCGATCCTTTCCACTGCCCTTCCGACCATTGCGCTCGATCTTCATGCGGGAGAGTTGTACATGTGGATTACCAATGCATACATTCTGTCCTCCACCGTGGTCCTCCCGCTCTTCGGCCAAACGGCGAACATCTTCGGCCGGCGATGGCTGATGATCATCTCCGTGGTTATCTTTGCGGTGGGAAGCGCCATCGCCGGAAGTGCCAATAACACCACGGCAATTATCGCCGGGCGAGCGATCCAAGGGATTGGGGGCGGAGGCATCAACATCCTCGTAGACACCGTCATCTGTGATCTGGTGCCCCTTCGCCAGAGAGGTAGGTATGTGGCGCTCATGGCCTCGGTCTGGGCTGTAGGAACCACCATTGGCCCGGTTCTTGGTGGTGCCTTTGCGCAGCATGTCTCCTGGCGTTGGGTCTTCTACATCAACTTGCCCTTGTGCGGTGTCTCGCTTTTCCTTCTCGTGCTCTTCCTTCGTGTCAACCATCCGCCCCGACCCCCGAGCACAACCCTCAGGCAACAACTTGGTCGCGTTGATCTCCTGGGCAACATGATCCTCACTCTGGCCGTCGTGGCCACTCTGTTAGCATTGACATGGGCGGGAACCACCTACCCCTGGTCCTCCTGGCGAGTTCTGGCGCCCCTGTTTCTTGGATTTGCAGGCCTGGTCTTCTTCTACATCCACCAGGCCTCGCGCTTCTGTCGGGAACCCTCCATCCCGCTCCAGCTCTTCTCCAGTGCAACCGCTCTCTGTGCCCTCTGGCTCTCCTTCCTTCAAAACATGCTCCTCTACTGGGTGGGCTATTTCCTGCCTGTCTATTTCCAGGCTCTGCGTAGCCTGTCCGCCACTGCCTCCGGCCTTGCTGTCCTACCCATCACAGCAGCCATTGCACCTTTCGGCGTGATCACCGGCAGCTTGATCGCAATGAAGGGGAAATACCGCCCCTTTCACTTCCTAGGGTATCTTTGTGTGACGATTGGGGTCGGCTTGTTCTCCCTCCTCAATAATAACTCCCCCGCCCGGGACTGGGCCGGTTTCCAGGTTCTCTTCGGAGTTGGCTCGGGTATGATCTTCTCCTCCACCTTGCCACCTATCCAGGCTGTTCTACCAGAGTCCGAGGTAGCGACGGCGACGGCGACGTGGGCATTCGTTCGGAGTCTGGGGTGCATCTGGGGCATTGCGATTCCGACGTCCATCTTCAATACGAGAGTGCAACGGATGCTCAGTGTCGTGAGTGAGCTCACATTGAGAGAGAGGTTGGCAAATGGAGGCGCGTATGCGTTGGCGGCGGAGGGGTTAATTCAAAGCCTCAAAGGCCAGGCGAAGCTGCAGAGTGAGGTCTTGAGGTTGTACGAGGATGCAATGCATTGGGTGTGGTGGATGGCGGTTCCATTCGGTTTCACTGGGCTCCTGTTTTGTTTCCCAGTTCGCGAGGTAAAGCTGAGAGAAGAATTGGTGACCGAGTTTGGCTTACGAGAGTGATTGTTGACATTACATATTGATACACTTAACAGATAGATTGCTAGAAGAATAGCAACAAAGGCCCCTGCCTCTCAATCACCAGTCCAAGATAAAGCTGATGGGCAATGCAGCCAATCACCTCACTCGGGCCTTAGATAACGATCGGTAGTATTTAAGATAATGACCACAGTGACCAAATGATCACATCTGTATCATGCATGTGGATAAGAGCTACGAAGCTAGTACAAAGAGCAAGCGCTTCCGGCCGCATTCCAGGAGCGCCCATCTACATTCTGGAGGAGCAATGGTAGGCCAATAACTGATTGGGCCGATTCTTGAAAGGTTCGGCGAAGGGGAGCGACTCCTATCATACGCCTTCGGCAAGACCTCTACGGTGTGTCCGTCGGTGAAAGCCGATCCCTAGCTCAACAGTACTATTTGGACAAGGTATTAGTTCGATAAATTCATCGCCGGATATCTTGTGTTCTAACCCCATTGCTCTATTTTGAAGTAGTGGTTCTAGTGGTGAACGCAACCGAAGGGGTCACGATTCATTGATATCTGCACGGACGTCACAGTGAATCGATCGTCAGTGACTGGGAACTGGAATGACAATCATAAGCATATACAGTATAAGTAAAGAGCTCATCGGTCGCTCACACATTACAGCTGATCGTTTGACCCCTATTGACAGAGAAAGGTGGTATGATGGATTATTTCACAGACCTATGCAATATTACACCATCTTCATATCTACTTGCGTAGCTAAAGCTCCCTGGTGGACCACTGATAGTAGATCGGGGGTACCTCCTTAAGACTGGAATTCTCGCTCCTTTGCAACCCTACTTGCAGCACATCATCACTCCTTCCCAGGCCTGAAGTCTAATAGTTGCTTCATCGCCAACTGCAATGCTCCTTTGGAGCGAAGAAGGCGCCATCCAATCCACCTCTAGCGACCCAGGGATCTTCCAGGCGAGGTTCTCGCCAGTCCAATTCATCACGACCAGCCACTTTCGTTTCGTCTGAGCACCTGTTCTCAGGTATGTATAGATTTGCTCATTGTCCAAGTCCACATCCTGGTAGTCGCCATACACAAAGACATCTTTAAACGTCCTGCGATTGCGTAGAGCGAGCTGCCAGTATTGCCAGACAGAGAGGTCCTGGCTTTCGCATCCCATCTGCGCTTTCACATGAACCGTCCCAAAGTCATCATTCACTCTCATCCATGGTGTCACGTTGGATGCTGCAAATCCTGCATTGGGCTCGTCGCTCCACTGCATTGGCGTTCGGGCGTGGTCCCTGGCTTTTTTCTGAAGAAGCTCTCTTGCCTTTTTCATATTGTACCGGATCGTCGGAATAGAGCCTTTTCGTCTTCTGCCAAAAGTTGATGCTTTCTATATCCTTGTAGTCGACATCTGGGTTCCAGTCCGCTGAAAAGTTTTGCATCCCAATCCCTTGACCCTGGTAGAGATACAAGGTACCACCGAGAGTCGACTCCAGAAGCGCAAGTAGTTTGCCACCACGCGCGCGGAACTTGTCGCTGTCGTCCACGTAGCGCGACACCGAGCGAGCCTGATCGTGGCACTTCAAAAGAGTGCATTCCATCCATCCCATTCGATCATGTTTCTTTGCCAATCGGAGAAGATCTGTTTGAGCTCTGTCAATTTCCAGTCGCGCAAGCTCCATTTCGAATCATATTGAGTTCTTTCGCAGTTGATCCGACGGTCTTGATAATTTCGCTGATGTCGCTGACGTGGGCTGTTTCCCCGACGGTGATGGTTTCGTACCTTGACAGAACATGCTCATATATTCCATGCATGAACTCATGGAAGCGCGGCCCATTAGTGTAAAATCTCTTTCCGGGTTGGAACTGGCAACTGGGGTCGACGACTGGGGCATCGGGGAATGAGGGATCCTTTGAAATCAGATTGATCACGTCCATTCGAAATCCTGAAACTCCTCGGCTCAACCAAAATTGCATGACCTAGAGGACTTAGTCAGCCAGGCTCAGATCAAATTACGCCGCATGACGTGAACACAGTTCACATGAACTTTTTTTTGTGTACACGTGGAACGTTCCCGCGGCACGTGATGCCAAGCCCTTTATATAAGCAGGAACGTTCCACACGACCCTATAAATTACTGTTTTTTATTATTGAAATTCAACTTCCTCTTATATTTCTCCAAGTTCATTACACACTTTATTTCAAGCACTTACCAAGTACTTTATAAGTACCTACCAAGTACTTTCTAGACATGGATTTTCATGAAGTTATTGAACTTAGTTCTACGGAAGAGGAATACTCAACCCAGGTAATTTCCTAAGTAGTTATCAAGTACTTAGAAATTAATTTATATCTAGGAACCGTCACCATTAACCTTTCTGACTCAGGCAAAGGCATCACCTTTAACTACTCAGTTTATAGAGTATATTGATGATCTTCCTGAGTATCCAAAAACTGCACTATGTGGATATACATATGTAGTTCCATTACATGGACTTTTAAATACTGAAGTCAGCGCTCTAATTAG